GGAGGTTAGCCAATATATATAATTATGATGAACTCCATTTTGAACTTCATGAACTACTGAATCAGCACCTACAAGAAAGCCTGTAATTATGTCTCCTAAAATTGGAAAGTTTTCTTGGTATTTTTTTGAGGGGGTGAAGTAATGGTTTAGATATATTTTTTTCTGTATGTATAAAAGACTGTCTTGGGACATATTTGTGGAGAACACTCTTATCTTTCATAAACAGTGTACATAATGTAATGTGTTTGTTGGCCAGTAAAGCACCTGTCAGCTACAGTATATCTTACTCCCTCTTGAACATGTCAATGTTTATACAAAACACCTCATGACAATGTTGGATGATAGAGCATTTTCATATCCTGTCTGCTCCTTGGTACTTTATTACATGAAATTATTATGCAAAACTTTATCCTTTTATTTTTTTCACTCATGTACAAGTATGTAGGAAATCACTGCACTATCTTGTGGTGGGTCCCGTTCAGTAGACATTGGACCATATTTTAGTATGTTCCACCCCAGCAAGATGCTGCTTATCCTAAGATACGCACTATACCAAGAGCCAGGCATTGGTCCATCCTGCGGTACACACTGCAAGCTAGATACCACACCATCTTGTGGTATGTAGGCTACTGTCAGTAACAGACCTGTCCATCCTGTGGTATAGCAGGCTATATACTACAGAGAGGTATGGTACATACCCTGTGGTTTGATATGTACTACAGTTTGGATCAGTTAACTAAATGTTTGGCTCAGTCTGCGGCATATGCCTGTCAGCTGGACTGGGTCATCCCATGGTACATACCATCAACTAGACACTGGTCCATCAAAGTGTATGTACCGTTGGTTAGAGACTAGATCCCTCTCGGTACATACTGATGGCGAACTGTTGCCACTTACAGTCATTGTAAGTCCTTATATAAAATTCAGTAGTTTTTCACTGCAATGGGACACATTACACTGGCAATACTGCTAACACATTCTCATATCTAACACTGAGCAAACACCTCATCAGTACTTAGTTTCTATCACAACACTTAGCACTTTAAAAAATCACCACGTCTTTGGTAATGTCAGATTTCACACACATTTTCCATCCTTTCAGGGCTTAGTTTCATTTCCTTCGACAGGCCACCGTTTTGATTTATCCAGCACTTAAATGGATTGGAAAGAAGAAAAACTAGTTTTCTCAGATGCAGGCAATGACAGGCTTGAAAATACTTGTAAAAAGATGTCCTTTTAAAAATTAAGTCTATAAATGATGATCATTTAGTCTTCTTTCTCCTTAATATTCTTGTTTCCTGAACAGCAGCCACCAGGGTCTTCACAGCCTCCTCGTGACCCTCGAAGCTGTCTGCCTTCCTCAGGGTGCCATGTCTGCCTGCGCCACTGCCGCCCTCACTTTTCCGCATTGTGCCACCCCTCCCGGCATCTGACGGCAGAGCATCTAGTGAGTTTTGTTTCTTGAACACCGGTCTGGAGTGGGATTCATCCCGGTAAATCCTGCTGGACACTTCCGTGGATATTGGGACATTTTCATATATATTTTCTTTCTTGGAGGTGGTTTTGCGAGGGACTGTAGCAACAGCATATATGGTCTCAATATCTTTACGGCCAGGAGATTTGCGGCTGGTTCCTCCCAGCTGCTCAGCGTGAACAATGGCTTTTACTTCCCCTAAATTAAAATCTGGTTTACCTTGACCTCCCTGAGGCACCTGAGGCACTGGCACAGCTTTCGGAGTCCTAATGCCAGCCTCACGCTCCGCTGAACGTGCTCGTCCTAGTGAGCTCTCGCGGGAGCGACAGGCTGCGGCCACTGCCCTAACTTGGCTTTCATCCAAGCGTTCAGCACTTGTGCCATGATTGTGTTCTGGTTCGCTACTAATACCTCGTACTGAACCGATTCCAGAGTACAGCTTGGCAGCTGCACGCAACAGTGTGTTATCACAGGCAGACTTTGGCCTCTCGGGAATTGCCGAGGCATCAAAAGCAGCGGCCGCGAGGTCAAGGTAACGGTCAGTGTGATGATCAGGCATGACCTTGGTTCGAGAAAGTCGGTGCACCACTCTACCTACGGCACCTCGCTCTCTTGAAGATGCGCGACCTTCGTCGACGTCACTTTCATAGTCATGCTTCTTTTTTTCGTCACGCAATCGTACTTTTTCAAGAAGTTGCATAAACACCCCTTTTTTAACTTCTTCTACATCACTACCTTCTGAACCTCGCCGTTGATTTAGTCGTAGAGATGATGTGGACGACACCATTTCACTCTCGCTTTCGCACCCACGATGTCGTTCCCATACTAACGAATCTCCTTCGCTGTTTTGTCGTTTGCGTCTGATGCCACGCTCCGCTCGTCTCACCTCCACATAGGACCCACCCAATACTGACGACGCTAAGGTGGAGGCCATGGAGGATGCAGGCGATACAGGTCCACGGTATTTATCTCCTTCCCTAGTGGGGCCCGGATCTGCTCGGCCTGAGCCCGGCCCTGGAGAGAAGCCTGAAACACAAGCCTGTCAATTGGGCGTCAGTGCGCGCCGCTCTACCTACAGGGAAGGTGGGAAGGGATGGAAGAGGAGCAGGTAGGAATGGCAGCTCCTTCATTCTGCTCACCAAGCTCTGCAACAACACTGTTTGCCAGGGCTGACAGTCACCTACCCACCAGTAAAACAGTTTCTTTGAAACTCATCAGTGTAAGCAAAACAACTGGCAGTAATTACCAGCATGCACTTGGGACTGTCAACCCTTGCCAGTTACCACTGTTACCCAAAATGATGAGTGCATTAACACCGTCCTGCTTTCGTAACCACCTGTAAATAGCAAATTTTATTTATAATTACTATATTGGTTATTTCTAAAGGAATAGAGATTTTATTTTGATACTTATGTTAATGAATAACTAAGTTTTTGTAAAGCATGCATGAAGTGTAAAAAAAAAAAAACTAATAAATTAAGCAATGATTGTCAAAATATTTGTTAATGCAAAGTTTTGATAATCATACATTACTACTGTAGTACATATTATCTGAAGTTGCTAAGTAGAAATGACATTACTCTTCCCTTACACTGAATTATCATATCTTAACACACAAGAATCCTTATGCACATTATAACAGTAAGTGGTGCATGCATGCATGCAGTGCTCACGTAACTGTTACCCATAATATGAATGATGGGGCTCGTAACTCCAACAAAGGCTTTATATTTGAATTTATATACAAAGCTCGTCTTCACAGTTACTGAATCTACCCCTTTGGGAGTTTCACTTGCTCACTACCCTCATAAGTAACTAGATCCTTTCTTCACCTATTCAACTTTAGTACTCGTGTACAGTACAGTGGTACCCAACTTAGTATATGTCCTGTTTGGACACGAAAATTTTTGCTTGGTATTTGACCTTTGTTTGGAATACGGCTTGCGTGCTAGAACTTGTATGGGTCAAAATGATAAAGATACCGCCAATGATTTTGTTACAGAGTTTGGGGAATTTGTGGAGGCTGAGGGTTTTGTTCCCCAACAAGTTTTTAATTGTGACAAAACAGGCTTGCTTTGGAAGAAAATGCCCAACAGGACCTATATTACACAAGAGGAGAAGGCATTACCAGGACACAAGGCAATGAAGGATAGGTTAACTCTCTTGTTCTGTAACAGTACAAATGGGGATTGCAAACTGAAGCCTCTACTGATCTACCACTCTGAAAACTCGAGGGCCTTTAAAAAAACATAATGTGCAAAAAACTCAGTTACCTGTGATGTGGAGGTCAAACAGCAAGGCTTGGGTAAAAAGAGAATATTTCAGCCAATAGTTTAATGTTGTGTTTGGGCCATGTGTAAAAAGTTATTTGGAGGAGAAAAACTTGCCTCTGAAGGCCCTCCTCATAATGGACAATGCTCCAGCTTACCCTCCAAGCTTGCAGGACTATGTGCCACAGGAGTTTGACTTCATCACTGTAAAGTTTCTTCCCCCTAACATGACTCCTCTCATTCAGCCCATGGATCAGCAGGTCATCAGTAATTTCAAGAAACTCTTCACTAAAGCACCATTCTAGAGGTGCTTTGAAGCGACCTCTGATACAGAATTAATCCTGAGAGAGTTTTGGAAAGATCACTTTACTGTCACCCATTGTGTAACTCTCATTGACAAAGCCTGGCAGGAAGTTTCATAAAGAACAATGAACTCTGCTTGGAGGAATTTGTGGCTAGAAGTAGTGGCTGAAAAGGACTTCGAGGGCTCTGAGGCTGTGTCTATAGTGGAGTATATTGTCTCACTGGGCAGGTCCATGGGTCTGGATGTGAGTGATGGTGATGTGGAGGAGTTAGTGGAGGGGCACAGGGAAAAGATGACCACTGAGGAGCTGCAGGAACTTGAGGAGGAGAAGCACAAAACCAAGATGGATGCACTCTCTTCAGGCTCGGGAGAGGAGACAGAGGAAGCCCTTACTTCATTAATCAAGGAAATCTTTGCCAAATGGATGGACGTCAAAAACGTTACAGAGAAGTACCACCCCAACAAAGCCCAAACAAGCTGTAATAGCATTGTCTGGGATGACCAGAAAATGTCATATTTACAAAACATCCTGAGGAGAAGGCAGAAGCAAAGTTCTTTGAACAGATTTTTAGTAAAAGTCAAACCTGGTGAGCTTCAACCAGGTCCAAATAGGGAAAAGAGACAGAAAAGAGAAGGGGACTCTCCTTCCAAACAATAACATTTCCTCCTCCTCCTCCCTTCTCAGCACTATTCTAGTAGCCACTCGACTTTTCAGCAAAGTAAAGTGAGGTTAAATTTGTATTTATTTCATCTAATTCTTTTGTATTTATTTATGTATTTTACTATTAAGCAGTGTTTAAATTATTTTATATAACCCCATCAATGTATAATATGCGAGTAACAATAGGATTTTTTTTTCATGGGAACGGATTAATCATTTTCCCTATATATCTTATGGGAAAATTCGTTTGGTATACGTCCTGTCTGGTATAAGTCCAAGGTCCTGGAACGGATTAAGGACATATACTGAGGTACCACTGTATTCCCTAGGCATGTAATTATTTCCAATTACAGAAGTGGAGTGCAGATCATGGTGTGTCAGCTGAGGCAGGGATGCTGAAGGGCCCAGTGGGTTTAATAATTTACTTACCTGGAGTTTACCTGGAGAGAGTTCCAGGGGTCAGTGCCCCCGTGGCCCGGTCTGTGACCAGGCCTCATGGTGGATCAGAGCCTGATCAACCAGGCTGTTACTGCTGGCTGCATGCAATTCAATATACGAGCCACAGCCCGGCTGGCCAGGTACCAACTTTAGGTGCTTGTCCAGTGCCTGCTTGAAGACAGCCAGGGGTCTATTGGTAATCCCCCTTATGTATGCTGGGAGGCAGTTGAACAGTCTTGGGCCCCTGACACTTACTATGTTGTCTCTTAACGTGCTAGTGACACCCCAGCTTTTCATTGGGGGGATGTTGCATCGTCTGCCGAGTCTTTTGCTTTCGTAGTGATTTTCGTGTGCAAGTTCGGTACTAGTCCCTCTAGGATTTTCCAGGTGTATATAATCATGTATCTCTTCTGCCTGCATTCCAGGAAGTACAGGTTCAGGAACTTCAAGCGCTCCCAGTAATTGAGGAGTTTTATCTCCACTATGCGTGCCGTGAAGGTTCTCTGTACATTTTCTAGGTCAGTAATTTCACCTACCTTGAAAGGTGCTGTTAGTGTGCAGCAATATTTCAGCCTAGATAGAACAAGCGACCTGAAGAGTGTCATCATGGGCTTGGCATCCCTAGTTTTGAAGGTTCTCATTATCCATCCTGTCATTTTCCTAGCAGATGCGATTGATACAATGTTATGGTCCTTGAAGGTGGCTGGAATTTGTTTTGTACTCTGATGAAGTTTTAATTTCCTCATGTTTAACATATCGAAGCAATTGAAATTTCTCATCGTTGAACTTCATATTGTTTTCTGCAGCTCATTGAAATATTTGGTTGATGTCTGCCTGGAGCCTTGCAGTGTATGCAATGGAAGACACTGTCATGCAGATTCGGGTGTCATCTGCAAAGGAAGACACAGTGCTGTGGCTGACATCCTTGTCTATGTCAGAAATGAGGATGAGGAACAAGATGGGATCGAGTACTGTGCCTTGCAGAACAGAGCTTTTCACCATAGCCACCTCAGACTTTACCCTGTTGACTACTACTCTTTGTGTTCTGTTTGTGAGGAAATTATAGATCCATCTATCAACTTTTCCTGTTATTCCTTTAGCACGCATTTTGTGCGCTATTACGCCATGGTCACACTTGTCGAAGGCTTTTGCAAAGTCTGTATATATTACATATGTATTCTTTTTGTCTTCTAGTGCATCTATGACCTTGTCGTAGTGATCCAGTAGTTGAGACAGACAGGAGCGACCTGCTCTAAACCCATGTTGCCCTGGGTTGTGTAATTTATAGGTATCTAGATGGGTGGCATTATTATAATAATAAAAAGAAGCGCTAAACCACAAGGGCTATACAGCGCTTATAGATGGGTGGCAATCTTGCTTCTTAGGACCCTTTCAAAGATTTTTATGATATGGGATATTAGTGCTATCAGTCTGTAGGTCTTTGCTATTGCTTTACTGCCCCCTTTGTGGAGTGGGGCTATGTCTGTTGTTTTTAGTAACTGTGGGACGACCCCAGTGTCCATGCTTCCTCTCCATAGGATGGTAAAAGCACGTTCTTGATGAACACAGAGTTCCATGAGTCTGGCCCTGGGGCAGAGTGCATGGGCATGCCATTTATCGCCTGTTCAAAGTCATTTGGCATCAGTATAACATCAGATAGGCTTGTGTTTACCAAATTCTGTGGCTCTCTCATAAAAAAATTAATTTAGATCTTCGAATCTCAGTCTGGTTAGCGGCTTGCTAAAAAACTGAGTCATATTGGGACTTGAGTAGCTCACTCATTTCCTTGCTGTCATCTGTGTAGGACCCATCTTGTTTAAGTAGGGGCCCAATACTGGATGTTCTCGACTTTGATTTGGCATAAGAAAAGAAATACTTTGGGTTTCTTTCAATTTCATTTATGGTTTTTAGTTCTTCCCGCGATTCCTGACTCATATAAGATTCCTTTAGCTTTAGTTCGATGTTTGCTATTTCTCTGACCAGTGTCTCCCTATGCATTTCAGATATATTGGCCTCTTTTAGCCGCTCTGTCATTCTTTTCTGTCGCCTGTAAAGGGAGCGCCTATCTCTTTCTATTTTACATTTACTCCTCCTGTTTCTTAGAGGAATAAGCCTTGAGCATACATCAAGTGCCACAGAGTTAATCTGTTCTAGGCATAAGTTGGGGTCTATGTTGCTTAGTCTATCTTCCCAGCTTATATCGTTTAGGACTTACATATGAATTTGGCCCAAAAAATAAAATATGCATATTCTTCTTTCAACAAACTGGCTGTATCCTACTGAGGCAGAGTGGCTCAAAAAGAAAAAAAACAAAAGTTTCTCTTTTAAACTTTAGTAATGTATACAGGAGAAG